GGGAAAAAAAAATAAATAAAATTATTTAAAAAATAAAAAAATAAAAAAAATAAAACCTGTGTTAAAAAGAGCTTTAAAAAAAACCAGTTTAGTTGACTTCATAATTAACTTTTGATATTGAAAACAGAATTGCTTTTCTTAGTAAATAAATTTCTGTCACCAGAGATTGGTATTTAAGATTCTCAATAATCTTCAACAGTGTAATTGTTGTTGGTTGATTCTGCTTCTGCTGGCAGCTGTCCTTAGATTTCAGGTTAATGCTCATGTCTGAGCTGTAAACCTCGCCTTCTTCCTCCAGAGGTTTTGACAGTGAAACATGGAAGGTTGCAAAAAAGATCTTTCCTTGTTCTCAACCAAGACAGCTCTTGCCCTCTGTGGTAAACTGTACAGCTCAATTCATCGAGCCTTTAGGTGAGCAAATTAGCAGATTAGTTCTAGCAACTGGAGTCAGTGTAACTCCCAGATGGCATAAGACACGTGGTCTTTGTCAAATCCTTCCTTCAGTGGATTTTCCAGTTTCTGCGGGTGGGCCTGCGGTTGTGGAGACTTTGACTGAGGGTAATCAAGGACCCAGTGATTGATCCACTGGGAAGGTGCTTAACTTGCAAAAACATGAACACTCTTTTCCCAAGACACCCTTTCACATTTTCTGTTTCTGGAATTAGAGGAAAATTTAGAAACTCTAAGTTGTTCATTATGGTGGCAGCCATCCAGATGGAGACCCCAGGAAGCAAAGGTCCACAGACTGGCAGAGAGTGAGTACTGCCTCCTCCACCTGTGGTCCTGGGAAGGACCTTCTTTCCTGAGGAAAAACCCACGTTTAGGAACTCTGATGAATTAAACATCACGTTCCCTATCTACAACGTGTACGGGAAAACCCACCAAAGGAGTTTCCAAATTTATATATTTTATATTCAACTTCTCTCCTTGATAATGTTACACATTTAATGTTTTATTTTTATTAACCTTTAAAAGCATTTAATTAAATATGCAATCCACAAAGCATTGTTATTAAAAATGATTTGATAAAACAAATAAAGCAAAAGTCGGATTAGCCACCCCACCGACAGCCCATTCCTCTCTGCAGAAGCAACCAGCACAGTAGGTTCTCAGCGCTGAGACCAGACGGGGAGGACGCAGAGGAAATGACCATCTTCTCGTCCACCAGTAGGTTCTCAGTCAGTAGCATGACTGGCTGTGGTTAATCTGGTTTAAAGCTGTTGCTGGTAATTTTGACCAGCCTGCTTTGTTCACATGACCACAGTCGGCTGACTTTTCATTCATCCGAGTGACTCTGATTGTGCTGTTGCTGATGAAACTGAGATTTTTTTGAAAGCAAGAAAGAGATGAATTCTATCCCAGATATTTCTCACGTCTGAGTAACGTGATGACTTCTCAACTTCCGGCCAAAGTCTTTCTGTTGCACGGTGGACTCAAACGAAAAGCCTAGAAAGCGAAGGGAGAAGGCAGGTGGGGAGACCAGGCTCCCATTTGGCAAGAAGTGTGCTTCTTCCTCGTGAGAAGATAAAAAGCTGTGAGGGATCCAGCTGTGTTTTGAAATATCGTTTTCATTTCCTCAGTAAAAATTCACGAAGTCGTTTGATTAAATATAGCAAAAGGCACTTCCCATAATATATTTTCTTGAAATGTTTATAGAATTAATATTGTTAATGAAAGAAAATATATAAACAATGTTTGTTAAATTGGTTTCTTGATTCCTCTTTTCATAGACCCGATATAGGCTACCGAGTTGTCACAGACAAAGGATTTAATTTCTCGCCAGCAGATGAAGCTTTTGTTTGCCAAAAAAAGAACCATTTTCAGCTAACCATCCATATCCAAGTTTGGGGAAGTCCAAAATTTGTCAAAACCCAAATGGGCCTAAAGCCAATAGAAATGTTTTACTTGAAAGCTTTTGGGGTTAAGGTAAGCCTTTTATTTAGTTCAATTTAATTCAGCCAACATTTATGAAGCGTTCCAGTTGTCTGTTGCTGCATAACAAGCTGTCCCCAAACTTAGCAACTTAAAATAATAACAATCATTTATTTGGGTCCCGAATCTGCAGCCTGGTTAGGGCTTGGCCGTGACAGCTCGTCCCTGTGCACGGGTCACCCGCCCAGGCAGCTGGACGGGGCCTGGGGCCCGTTCCAAGACAGCTCGCTCGCGCATCTGTCAAGTTTGTGCGGTGGCTGGGGCCTCGGCTCTTCTCCACGTGGCCTCCCTGTGGGACCTCTCTCACAACATGGGACACGGGTTCTGAGAACATGTGTCCCAAGGCAGGGGAAGTGGAAGCTGCCAATTTCTTAAACCTGGGCTCAGGAACGGGCACAGCCTCACTTCCAATTGCAGTTTTGTGGTTTCCAGGGTATAAACTCGCACTTCTTTGACTAAATGTATTCTTAATTATTTTATACTTGTTGATGCTGGTGCATTTCCATATGGAGTAGATTCATAGTTTTCATCAAATTCTCAAAGAGGTCCCTGACTTAAAACAGCCGAGGAGCCACTAACCTAGTCACTGCGCCTCTTGTCCAGTTTCACAGAGGGGAGACTGAGGCCCAGCCCGCTGCCACGATTCGTCCAGAGAATAAATGGTAGAGCTGGGCTTATGGAGCAGGGAGGGTGACTTCTGAGTGATCGACAGCATTTATTAAATTATTTCCTCAGAGCCAGCTCCTTAGGGGAGGAACATCCATTATCTGCATGTTTTATTCCGATCGTTACCCTGGGCTTAGGCACAGGGACTCCCCGATGGGTCCTGATCACTGAACACATCAGCCCTCTTGCTCCAAACTGAGCTCTTAAAGCAAAACAAACAAAATAAAAACAAATGCAAACAAACAACAGTGAAACTTATTTTTCTGATTATGAAAGTAATAGGAGTCCATTGTGAAAATTTTGGAACACAATAGAAAATTATGAAGAACAGACAAAATTCATTCATATTTGGGGTCCACCATCTGGTAGCCTAATTTTTCTTTATTTTTTCTGTTATTAAAATTAATCTCATATTGTTGATAGTATATTGTGAAAATAACATCATATGATATTATTAAGGACCCTATAAAACATTGTCTACAAAGATGATGTAGTTTTCCATGAATGGATGTAACATTAACTCCTGTATTATTGCAGGTAAAACTGTAGGTTGATGAAACTGCAGTGAGCATCCATGTATGCCCATCTTTACATGAAGATAAATTCCAGAAGAGGAGTTAACACATCAAAGATATGAATATTACTAAAACTCTCCATGTAGATTGTCCAGTTGCTTTCCAAAAAGATTGTTACAACTGGAATAACCCACAAGCCATACACGACAGGCAGGCGTCACCATGTCGTCACCACTGTTCACTAACAACAAGAAGAGTTTGTAGCAAGTGCAGTTGTACGTCGCTTAACGATGGGGACACGTTCATAGAAATGCATCGTTAGGCAATTTCATCGTGTGCGAACATCACGGAGTGCACTTGCACAAACCCAGATGGTACAGCCTCCTACACACCCAGGTTCTGTGGTACTAATCTGATGAGACCACGTCGTATTGGTCTGTTTTGGTCTGTTGTCGACCAAAACATTGTCACACAGCGCAGGACTGTACTGAATAAATGTCCTTGCCTGTATTTTATTGATTTTTGTCGTCTCTCTTTGTTTCTTATTAGAATGTAAGCTCCGCACGGGCGAGCATTCTTAGTCTTGTCTACGTCTCATCTCTAATGCCTCGAGCAATGCCTCGTGCGTGGCAGGGGCTCAGCAAGCGTTTATAGAACGAACGAACGAACGAACGAATGAGCGTGTACCCTCTGAGCTGCCTCAGTCCTGTGTTTTGCTCAGCTGTCTACAAGCCCACTCTGTGTTCACTGCTTTCCTGAAATACGCAGTTGTCTGGTGTTTCTGTTGCTCGATTTTACAGGAATTTGTTTCTTTTCTCCCTGGTAGGACACCACTTTCAGATGGGGCCGTTTTCTTATCTGTCTTTTCAGAGACCTGCCCCTGGGCCCAGGGCCTAGCACGATCCTTGGAAACCTTTTTGAGCACTTGAACATTATTTACTAATGAACATTTTTTATCAATAAGCCAGTTAATTTATTAAGTAATTAATTTTCTTTTTGTTGTTCCACACAGGTAGAAGCCACCAATCAAATAATTGCTATTGAACAGTCCCAGGCAGATAGAAGCAAAAAGATTTTCAATCCTGTTAAGTAAGAATGTCTTTTCTGAATTCCTTTGTGAATGTTTTAGGAAGAAGACCAATTGTTCAATTTACTTTGCTTATTTAAAATGAATCCTAGGGGCCAGCCGGGTGGTACAGCAGTTAAGTTCATGCACTCCGCTTTGGTGGCCCAGGGCTCGCCAGTTCGGATCCTGGGCGCAGACCTACTCACTGCTCATCAAGCCAAGCTGAGGCAGCGACCCATATAGAGCAACTAGAAGGATGTACAACCTGACATACAACTATCTACTTGGGTTTGGGGAGAAAAAAGGAAAAATAAAAGGAGGAAGATTGGCAACAGTTGTTAGCTCAGGGCCAATCTTCCTCAAATAAAATAAAATGAATCCCACTGTAGAAACTAAATTAGTAATAATATGTTAGTTTTATGAACATGTGCTTTTCAACAAAAATAAAGTAGGTAAAATGCATTGAAATAATGGCAAAAAAATTCCTTATAAAAAGCTCCATCTTTAAAGTCATTGTTACAATTATAAACATTTATTACCGACAACCTTGCTAACAACTTTGGTTCTTTGAGATACATTATGGTTAGATCTTTCTTTTAATTTTTCATTTGAATCAGCATGATACTGATTGAATTAACTTCAAGGTTCTGGATCCATGCTGTGCCTGCAATTCATTTTTTCTTATTTTTCAAGGCCGTGTTGGTAGATTGCCTAATGGGTTCCAAGACAGAAAGCATGTAGGACTGGGACTATCCAAAGCAATATGGTGGTCCAAAGCGGGCGTCCACCACATAGAATGGCTTGGAGTGAGATTTGCTTTTTGACTGGTTTGGCCGGGATGCAGTGAGATGTCTCAGGTTTTGACCCTGAGTCAGCCCCATAGGGCTGGACAGGAGATGGTCCTACAGCCGGGACAGACCAGCAGGAGCTCAGCCTGGCGCTCGAGCGGGAGCCAAGTGCACAGACACGGCACTACGCTTGCCTGGTGCATCTGGGCCTCCCTGCCCGGGCAGGCCGGGTGTGGGCCTCCCTGTGAGCAGGCTGCCTCCCACAGCCAGGCCAGGAGAGGGCAGGTACGGGCAGCATGCGAAAGAGGTCACTGAGAACCTAGAGAAATGGCTCAGTCAGGAGGCCAGCGCTGCAGCCACAGCAGCAGAGGCTCAAACGAAGGTGTCTTTTCTCCCCGTTGTGGAGGCGAAAGAACCGTGTGTGGCGTGGGGAGCACATGGCCCTTCTGGGTCAGAAACGCTGGCTTGCGTTTCTAGATAAGCATTTCTTGCTGCTCAGGGGTCATTCCGTGGCCTCCCCTGGCAGCTGGTCCTGACCACGCTGGGGGTGGTTTATTAAAGACCAGTGACTGGGATACACCGTCCTCATGGTGATGAGAACAGGGCAGCGCACATACTTGAGGATCCACAAACGCGTCACATACGATCAGAGACTGCGTTCTCTCAGTCTCCTGGTATTTCTGCTGTTTGTTTCAGAGTCGAATTGCTGGCCGACCAGGTCACCAAAGTCACGCTGGGCCGGTTACACTTCAGCGAAACCACAGCGAATAACATGAGGAAGAAGGGAAAACCAAATCCTGACCAGAGGTACTGGCATCCCCATGAGTTCCTGGGGTGGCCAGGCTTTATCCGACCGGCCAGAGCCCTCCGCAGGCCCCTCTGATCCTCCTCTCCACCTCCCTTGGCCACTTTCCTCCCCTCCCTGATCCTCTCAGTTTATTGCCCAACCATTTACCTTAGTCGTCTTCTTCTGTCCCCCTCTTCTGCCAGCCCTCTCTGCCTGCCTGGTTTCCTCCAGGGCTCCTGATGGAAGGCTGAGGACTGCCCGCAGTGCTCACACCTGTGTGCTAGTCACCAGCACAATGCCTGGAGTCCTGGAGCTCCCCTGCAGCCTTTTCGATTAAAAAAATAAATAAATTCTCATTGGTGACTTAGGCCTGTGGATCTCATAGTGCAGTCCCAGGATGAGCAGAGATGACATCACCCAGACACTTATTACAAATGCAAGTACTCGGGCCTCACTGAAGACCTACTGGATCAGAACCTCTGGTGGTGGGCCCAGCAGTTTGTATTTTGACCAGCCCTCCAGGTGGCTCTGATGCACAGCTCAAATCCGAGAACCACTGGTTTTAGAACATGGGTTTTGGAGTCGGACAGAGTTGAGTCTGAATATTTGATACTGACTGCCCTTTACTGGCGGGGTGGCCTTGGACACGTGACTCAACCTCTCTGAGACTCATCTTCCTGTTCTGTAAAATGGGGACGACATCCATATCCTACTCCAATAGGGCTGTTTTGGGTTCTGAATGAAATAATGTACCTCAACTGCTCAGCCCAGAGCATGACATTTTGAGTGCTCAGCAGATGGTAGCTGACAATAATAATGATGACAATGATTACTATTGCTGATGTACTTTAGATACAGGGGAGAATCTCATTCTCTAGGGCCTGGAGGATTTGCAGAGGGTTACAGAGGAAGCTGGAGCAGTACTTTCACGTAGTTCTTACAGCAAAAGCCTCTCTGAGGGGGATAGTTTCTATTTTGACTTTCAAGGAATGGTCTGATCTTAACAGTGTCTCATTGATGGTACGTGTGAAGAAGCAATTGAAATAACAGTGATGAAAATTGTCTTGGGAGCAATTGGAAGGGAGGGTCCAAGCCTTTGACTAAAGTCATGACCGGAGGCTGTGGAAGGCACAGGGTGCGTGGCCAAGAGCAATCGGGATGGGAAGGATCCATGTGGTTGGGCAAGCCCTACAGGGTCGCCCTCCACAAGGCCCAGGATGTATGGCTTGGGTGGCTCTGGACAAAGGGGCCTCTGAGGTGCTTCCGGTTGTGCACGTGGTTGTGAGTAGCGCTGTGCAGAGAGCCCAGGAATGCAGCGGGTGAGGCCTGCACCAGGTTGGCACAGATAGGCTGAGCCCAGGCCCCAACCGTGCCTCCCAGTGTGGGCTGCTTTGGGGCCTGCAAACAGCTCAAAAATACCTCCAACTGGGCAAAGGGCAGACCCAGGACAACCGTGGGTGAGTCAACTGCTCTCTCGGTTCCCAGGAGAGGCAGCTTAGAGCAGAAGAGAAAATCTCTAAGTACGCAATCTTTAAATGTGAAAAATCATGGAGGTAAAGTGCTATTGATTAACTGTTGAGTGGTATTTGATGGCATAAATTATGTCTCTGTGCCCTGACGTATTGGTCTTGGTCTGCTGTTTCTCAATTAGATACTTCATGTTGGTGGTTGGACTGTATGCTGCTAACCAAGACCAGTTCTATCTGTTGTCTGCCCACATCTCTGAAAGGATCATTGTGAGGGTAAGCTCGTTTCTTTGACTTTTCTGGCTCCACGTGCCTTTCTTCCCTGTGAGTAGCATGTGCACTTTCAGTGGCATGCTTGCAGCGTGCTGTTTCTCAGTCACTGCTGCTGCTGATGAGAGTAACAGCAGAGGCTGTTATTTTAGCTTTTACACGGTAGTTCTCAACCAGGAGAATGTTTGACCCTCAGGGTCACTTGGGAATGTCTGCAAACATTTTTGATTGTCACAACTGGGGGTGCTTCTGGCATCTAGTGGGTAAAGGCCGGGGATGCCACTCAACACATTACAACGCATGGGACAGCCCCACAGAGAATTATCCCCCACAAACGTCAGAGTGCTGTCGCTGAGAAACCCTGGTGTTCACACATGTTCTCGCCACTGGGCTGAATAACTTATCCGTTACCGCATTTCGCGTTGTTTTCTGTGTGTGTCAGGTTCTTGACACCTAGAGGACCTGCGGCTCGAGAGGGTGGAAACTCGTCTGTGATCACACAGCTTGTGGACGATGGAGCCCGGGTCACAGCCACAGGGAGGGGGCAGTGGTCAGCAGGCATTCCTCGCCCCAAAGTGCCTGGTGACCCAGGGGCACCCGGGTCCCCACCAGCACATAGGAACGGCTCAGCACGTTCTCGGAGTGAGCGATTGGTCACAGCTGTGGACCGAGTCTTGGCAGCCGCAGCTGCAGCTGTGTGAGGCCAGGCCACCACCACCGAGAATCCAGGGGCATAAGGTCACTGCGGGCCCGGCAGCCCGGGGGGCCTGTGTCATCATGGGCCTTTGCGGAGACCCAGGGAGGACACGTAACTCCGGGAGGCAAGGTGGTTCACTGGGACATGCCCACGTCCGCGGTCACCTCAGGCCTGGGGACAAGAGCTGCCAGGCGGGAAGTGAGTCTCGTCTTGCTTGCCTCGAGCTCTTCTGAAACAAAGGGCCCTCTGTGTAATTCTTTCAGTTCATTAAAAATAATAGGCCACCTAGTAGTGGAAATCTTAAAGTTTTAAAGGAGGTAAAGTAATGATGGAAATGAGGTACAACACTGCTGTGTGCAGACGTCCCAGGGTGAGGCCAGGCTGTGTGCCTGCTGGCTGCCACCTGTGGGTCTGCTCTGACCTGTGGCAGTGAGGCTCCTCCTGGGCAGAGGCGGGGGCCGTCTCCTGTGGTTGTGAGCCAGGGCAGCGGTTCCTGGCCCCCGCTCAGCAGGGTTCAGGGTCTCTGATGTCTCACCTGATGTCATCTGGGATCGCTTTGCTGCACTAAGGAAGCTGATTTGAGTCCAGTCTAGAAACCTGGGTGGCTTATGGTTTCCGATTTCTCATAGGAAGGGATAAAGACAGACGATGCCATTCTTTTCAGAGTCAGCCCTGATCAGGTATCGTGAAGGGGCCGCTCTGAGCTGTGTAACTCATGTTCGAGACAGGCAGTCCGCTGGTCACTGGTCACTCTGAATAATTTACCCGATGTCGAGGTTTCTCCGTGCCCTGCCGGCAGCTCCTGCAGAGCTGTGTTCTGGCTGCTGTGCAAGTGCTCACAGCAGCAATAGGAGGGGGAGCCCCACCGTCTAACATCCTATTACCAAACTGTTAATTGGCACCTCTCATATCCAAAGCACAATGACAATTTAACTCCTAATGGTGACTTTGAGAAATTGAACGTTTCCACAATTCATATTCAGTACGAATACTAAAACACATTAAATTATGCTCGGTATACATTGGGTGTCATGCTATTCACTGAATTTTTATTTTAAAAAATGATTGTATTCCAGATTTGATCACTTTCTTCTAGCCATAATATTTGGTTAAAGAGAATGTCCTTTTCTACGAGTGTGCCGGGTAATGCAAGGGTTACCCTATCGACAACGAGAAGAAGAATGGTAATAACACAAAGACTTCTCCCCACAAACTGGAACTATCTTATTGATGTTATTTCATTCTAACTCAAAATGCAGAAGTGAAAGTGAATGCAGACTTCTGAATCTATTTGATTGTTTAATGTTTAAACCAACCAAGAGAAAAACTGAATTTCAGAAATGGTGATATTGTTTGAATCAGTGAGTTTTAGAGGTGTCCACAGAACACATTTCCTGCCCCTAAGACTCTAGAGGCTCACAGAAGTCTCTGCATTGTGGGTTAGCGGAGCGCAGCCCAGCCTACACTCTACAGAAAAGCCAGACGCGCCCTCATGGGCTGTGGCCTGGGCCTGTTAGTTTGAGCTCCAGAAGGAAGGAAGAAGAATTTGACAATTAAGGGTGTCACAAGACCTGACCACACTAAATGGAGAACTGCAAGTTGCATTTAGCAAATCCATATTTATTTTGAGGCCTATGAATCGTTCCTCCCTGTAGCAGAGATCAGTGTAAGGGTGACTGTGTGAGGGCAGGACCAGGCGACAGTCAGGCCTTCGCAGGGGTGAGGAGACCCAGCTGTCAGAATTCCCCTGTGGGAGAGAACGGTGGGTAGGACCCAGTGACTGTTATCTGGGTTGTCAATCAAAACAGCTTTAGAAACATATTAGAGTCCTGTAGTGTAAATTGACCAATTTAATAGAAATTAAGTTTTGCTCCAAAGAGCAGATTTATTTCCCAGGTCTTTGTTTTAGGGAGCATTCCCCAGCAGAGTTCCTTCAGATCTCCTGTTAATACCTAGGCCTTCCTGCATCTCCATTTTCCTTCAAAAACACGTAATTAAACCTGGTGTGGAGGGCTGTGTTGCAAGCAGGAGGGATGATTACTTTTGTCTGCTTTTCAAAGATGCACCAGGGTTTCCTAGTTTTGAAAACTAATAAATTATTCCAGTTTCTTTTCTGGAAGAACAGAAATGGGCATGTCTCCAAGAAGTCCTCCTTTGTTGCTCTGCAGACTACACTGTCCTGAGATGGGAACCAACACCCAGGGGCAGGGAGGACAGAAGAAATAATGCAAGGATGGCAAGGGACGGGGGAGCGGGGTCATCCCAGGTGCCACCTCCATGTCCACTGGCTCCTGCCCATTTCTGACCACAAAACGCCCTTCCCTCCCATAGCGCGCGCACGCGCGCGCGCACACACACACACACACAGTCCTTCTGGAGTTCAGATGAATTTTTATTTACCCAAAGGATCAGGCGCGGAGCAATGTCTGTTTCCCTCTGCAGCTGGGATTCGACAGACCCTTGTGCCCACTACGTACGGAAGGGGTAATCCAGGAAGTTAGTTGGTATAAAGAAGTACATGTCGTCCTTAAATTTTATCAAGAAAAAGAATCCCCTGGAGAGCTTGTGAAGACTCATAAACCTGAGTCCCCCCACAGTTTTTGATCAGTAGGTTGGAAATGTCTGAGAACATGCATTGCTAACAAGCTCCCAGGAGATGCTGATGCTGCTGGCCTGTGGACCACACTTTGAGTAGCATTGGTGGAGAGCATCTTTAGGCCCATTTTCCATAGCCCTTTCAAAAAGAACAAAAATTGATTTCTTACGAGCTGCCTTCCTCAGCTCAGGCTCTCCTGTTATGCTCACTTTGGTGGCTGCTTCAGAAGCCCAAACAAGGGTAAAGCAAAGAAATTCCAGCTTTCCGTTCCAAAGTTAGTGCTAGCCTCCAATTACTCTTAATTGCTGTTTCCTGTTCCAAGCACCTGCAGGGGGCGCCACTGACACTGTAATCTTTGTGACAGTCCCCCAGAATTGTGCAACTGCAGGTGTGTTGCTGAGGAGAGCAGATTAATTGATTATAGGTTGGACAGTGGTTGCTATGCACAGCAGAGTGTGCTGAGGATGAATTTAAGACTGTTCTTCCTCATTTTTGCAGTGTTCATGTGTACATGATTTCAGGAAATTCCCACAACCCTGTGAGATAGGTAAAGAAGACATTATTGTCTTTACCCTTCAGAGGAGAGAGCTGGTACAGAAAACTTTAGTGACTGCCCCAAACTCACACAGCCAGTTTGTGTCATAACATAGACTAAAATGTTCACGTCTTCCCTAAATATAGGAGGCTGTGCGATACATAATAAAAGTATTTTAGAAACTTTAATTCATTGTGGTGTTTGATATCAATCAGCCCCCATTGGGCCACATGTGAATACAACTTCATAATTCCAGAAAGTTCTTCTGTGATTCCATTACAGTTTGCTTTCACACCTTAAGATGCTAGAGATGAGAGAAGGGAAAGAAGCTCACGTATTTTATACCAACATTGCCCATCACTGATGAGGACTCCTCTTTGGGGCCATATATTTAGAAGCTTGTAGATCGTGGCCCTTTCCAAAATGATTTGAACATATTTTAGGGACGTGAGTTTTCATCTGACGAAAGCCAAGTGAGACTGTTGCAATTGTTCCAAGAAATTAAATCTACTTCTGTCTGCTGTTCCAGTATCAAGATACCAATACGATAATAATTATCCCAAAGCTCATTAAGAAAAAAAAATCCATCACTGTCCTATTTTGTTTCCTTGAAGTGGCTCATTATGTTCAGAGTGGAGCAAAATACATCAGCATTTTATAGGGCGTACCTCTGGATTTAGCTGATGGCTCGCTCTAAAAGGATTTGAGTCAAAGCCAATTTGCCATTCACAGCCGAGGGTCTCCAGGGACCTTGGAGAAAAGCTCTTTGTTCAAGTGAATTCACACCAAATAGTGTTCAAAGTTGTTACTTTATGTTCTCCCGCTGCTCTCGTCTATCAGGTGTCAGTGTCAGAGTCTTCCAAGCAGCTCCAGGCTCAGACAGGTGGAAACGAAACAGGAAGTGGAGGACACTGAAAGTTCTTCAACTGAACCCAAACTAAGAGCTAAACTCTTTTAATTGTTGTTTTACATTGGTAACAAATGCACATGGTAAAAACATTCAAATAATACCAGGAGAGTAAAGAGTGAACACCCCGGTTTCTGTGTCTCCCAGTCCCCGCCCTGGAGGAAACCATGCTGTTGGTTTTCTGAGTGTTAATTCAGAGATAATCAATGCACATCAGGTGCTGCGTTGGCAACGTCTCCTGTACGCCCGGAAGGGAAGGGAAGACTTTGCTTTAGTGCCGACTTTTAGATGGTCAGAATCCTCACTGTTTGTCTGAATTTGTGAGAACCTGCCTCAAACACACAAAAATCAGCTTTAGAAGAATAGGTCAGAATTTTAAAAACAAATTAATTTTGTTGTGAGAGTTGTGAAGGATTCAGAGATCCCTCCTTGAAGACACTTGAAAGTAAGGTCCGAGGCTGCGGGGATGTGGGGAGGAGGGAAGGCAGTACGGCGGAAAGTTCTTCAGCAGAGAATTTTATTCAAAAGTAAAATCTCCAGAAATGTGTCTAGCCTAGTGGTTTCACTGGGATCTCCTTTGAAGATCACATTTGGCCATGGCTACGTCCAGGCACAAAAAGGCAAAGTTAGAATCATTATTTAATAATCGAAGGAAGTATAATTCCAGCTCCAGAGCTCACTAGCTTCGTGGCCGTGGGCAGTTTGTGTATCGTTTCAGTCTCAGCATCAGTAACGCCGGGACAGTCGTGCAGACCCCATGGGACGGGGGTGTGAGCAGCACACAACCAGTGTATCTGTGTTGTTCCCTTCAGCGCCATCTGTGCTCAGGGAATAGCTGAGGTGTGTTAAATGTACTTGCATGGCCCTTTGCTTGTCAATTGTGTATGCAATCATAAATAAGAAAGTGTTTTGAAACTATAAAAGGGCTAGTTAAACGCAAGGTATTTTTATTTATCTGAGCTTTAATAAATTTGTATTATTTTCTGATATAATGTTCTGGTTTTAAATTATTATTATTACTATTATTATCCCTGCAAAAATAGTCATTTTGAAGTATCTTCTTCTTCCTTATCATCCACTCGGTGTAACCGACACATTCGCAGTTCCGGATAGATTCGATAGAGGCTGGATGGTCCAAACCAAGGTGCACTCAGGGGGCAAAGCAGTCAGGGGGACCCTGGCTCTCCTGGGCCACAGAGTAATTTGGATAAGTCAGAATGTCTCGTCCAACATGTGACTCTCAGGGAAAGGCTCAGATAATGTTCTGTGCTCCTTTGCTCTGAGGAATAAAGCGATCCTCTCTTCCTGCTACTGTAACTTGAACTGTGATACATGTATGTCTCTTTTCCAGGCCTCTAACCCTGGGCAGTTTGAAAATGACAGTGCTGCATTGTGGCAGCGAGGACAAGCTCCAGAAGCTGTCGTCTGCCGTGGGCGAGTGGGAATAAACACAGAGGCCCCAGATGAAGCCCTGGTCGTCTGTGGCAACGCGAAAGTGATGGGGACGATTTTGCGTCCTTCCGACAGCCGCGCAAAGCAGAACGTGCAGGAGGTGAGCGCGGGCAGGCCTCGGGCACCGCCCCTGACACCTGGGCCGGGCGCGCCGGGCGCTCCTGGCCTCCCACGCGCCGGGCTCAGGGCGTCTCTACGTGTCACCCGTGGTGTGAGACGAACGTAGTGCTGAGCAGTTATGAGTGCTGGGGCCGTTCGGCATGTCTACTGAAAGTGTGCAGCGGTTCCTGCCCCGGAGAAGGGGTTTACCAGACAGGAGCAGGGGCAATGACAGCAGGGCGCTGGCTTCGCGAGCAGGAAGCCTCTGAGTTATCTTCCGCAGGCCGTCGCGCTTCCTTCCACGCGCTGTCATCCGCTGGAGCTCGCCTCTCCTTCCCAGCTCCAAGTTTCCATCTCCCTGCTCATCGTCCCAGCACTGACCTGGGCCTCTCCAGCCTCTTCCTCCCTGAGTCCCTGGACCAGCCCTGCCAGCCGTTGTCTTCCCCTTCATCCTCTTTCTCTGAGGAGCAGCTAGAGAAGTTCCTCCTCCTCAGTTGGGCCCTCGGTCAGTCCCACCGCCCAAGCTTCCCATCAAGACCTTTTCCCTCCATGGAGAGGCAGCCGCCTAGTGGAAATCAGAAATCAGGCCTAGAAATCAGGAGGCTGCTCCTCGGTTTTGGGCTTGCCCCAGCAACGTGACCTCGGATAAAACTCTTAACCTCGCCAAAACTCGCTGTCTCCATCTCTAAGATGGAAATGATGCCTCTCTGCCTGACCCCACCGAGTCTTATATTTTTTTAACCCATTGAGGAAGTAAGTCCTGAATTGTCTTGGAAAGTTGCAACTGCACCCTAAGGGGTTCGGATGAAGGTACCAGGTCGCCCCTGGTCCAGGCTCTTCTACCATTTAATTCTGTTCCCTTCGCTGCTGCTGCCACCTGCCCGCCTGCTCTCTCCTTGCTTCTCCTGGAAGCATTTCTGAGGCTGTGGCAGAATGGTGTTTTTAAACCTCCTTTCCTTACTCGTTTTTAGTTAACAGGAGACTTAATCTGTAAATCCTTGGCCATTCTTCCAGGCAGCATTCCTTTCCCAGTGCAAATCTGCACTGGTTTTTCTAAACCAGCCGAGCAATGTCCTCGTTTGCTGAGGGAATTCCAGAGAATGGTTGTAATTGTAGACTTGTACACCAATCATGAAGCCGCGGTTCGCGTTAGGAGAGCCGTGACTTCTAGCGGATGGGACTCAGGACTAGACAGTTCTGACAAGCGTTTCCAGGTCCCGGCCCTAGACAGTGGCCTCTGCATTTTAGAGATGGTTCAGATCACACCAGCTCAGACTTATTCTGCAGTTGGTGTACAATTCCCCGCCAGGTCCTGTCTTAACGAGATGGAAGACAACAAGCCCTCTGCTCCCTCCAGGCTTTCCCCAGAACATCATTTACCAAACGTCTTCAAATGGCGCACCTTGTTTGAAGAAAAGGTATAGTCTTAAAATAACAAGCTTCCCTAGACCTTCTCCAGTCCCTTCCAGGGAGCCTTCTGCATAAAGTGAAGAGCTGCCCTATCCAGGCTCTACCCGTGGAATTCCTGATCCCCTTGCAGCTCACAGTACCAGGTGGGGATAAAGAGAAGCCTGGTCTGCGGGGGAGAGCTGGCATTCCGGGTCTGATTCTGACAACCACTGGCCCAGGAGCTTCAGCCCAGAGAGGATCTATGCCCCTGTTTACTCCTCTGTGAACAGGGACGCTCACGTTCATTTTACTTGCGTGAAGGGCTTTTTCTAAGCTCATATATGTGAAGCATTTTTCAGCTGTACAAGGCTAAGCAAATAGATATTATTATTATTTACTTGTAAAAAATGAAAATTGGGGCCAGCCCGGTGGTGCAAGCAGTTAAGTGCGCAAGCTGCGCTGCGGCGGCTCAGGGTTCGCCGATTTGGATCCCAGGTGCGCACCGATGCAGTGCTTGGCAAGCCGTGCTGTGGCGGCGTCCCATATAAAGTGGAGGAAGATGGGCACGGGTGTTAGCCCAGGGCCACAAAAGAGGAGGATTTTTTTCTTCCTCGGCAAAAAAAGAGGAGGATTGGCAGATGTTAGCACAGGGCTGGTCTCCTCACACACACACACAAAAATGAAAATTGTATGTAACTTATTTATTAAATTATTTCATATTAATATATTTGCTCTCAACAAGTCTATCCACACTTATGAAATACATGTTTCTAGAAATCATGTCTATCCCATTCGCCATTGATTACAGACCAGAGAGACGATGGAGATGTTGACGATGGTGCTGAGAGATGTGTGACCTTCATCTTCTCCTCGCTGTGACTCAGTTTCTCAGCTTTTAAAAAGAGAGCCGTCGGGCCAGCCCAGTGGCACAGTGGTTAAGTGCGCGGACTCTGCTTCGGAGGCCTGGAGTTCGTAGGTTCAGATCCTGGGTGCAGACTTATGCACCGCTTGTCAAGCCATGCTGTGGCTGTGTCCCATATAAAGTAGAGGAAGATGGGCATGGATGTGAGCCAAGGGCCAATCTTCTTCAGCAAAAAAAAAAAAAAAGAGGAGGATTGACATCAGATGTTAGCTCAGGGCTGGTCTTCCTCACCAAAAAAAAAAAAAGAAAGAAAAAGAGAGAGACGTTCTTCCAAATGTGCTGGGAAGCAGACCTTTGGTTGATCTGATTGTGAGCACAGGACTGGAGGCAGTTTCTTATCTTTAATGATGCATGGTGACTGAAGCAGGATCCTGGGCGAGCTGTTGCAAAACGTTTGGTCCAGACATGTTGCCCAATACTGTGATGGGGACAAGGAACACAGGTGCCGCCTGGGCTGGCTCTGTCTCCTCACTCACGGCAGCGTGGGTTGCTTTGTGGTTACTAAGCACAGCAGTGCTCTGCCTAGAGTCCCGGGGGAGATCGCTGGTGCTCATCTGGACACTCATCCAGGACACAGAGAAGCTAAAGCGGATGAGATTGACACCCGTGCAACTGGAGCCCCGGGAAAACAAGGTCGGCCTGAGTGGTAGCAGCTTGACTTACGCAGACGGCAGCCTCGTGTCTCCTGACATGGCTACAGGGGAAACGCAGGGGAATGTTCCTCTAACAATGGAAATGAGCCAAATCAGGGTGGAAAGGAGGCGCTGGAACCAAACGGGCGTGAAGAACGTCCATGTCATGCCAAAACATGAGGAAGTGGAAAGTTGAGTGCTTCCGTCCACTCTGCGGTGAAGGCTGGAAAGGATTACAAGCCTGAGAAGAAGTCAGTCAAGATGAAATGCTCAGAGACTGTGCTGTTTTCTCCCCCACCGAACCAGCAGTGCGTGAGTTACAGACAAAAGTGAGGGCTCGAGAAAGTCAGATGGCAGAGTCTGCCCTCAGGGCCACGAGCCAAACGCAGCTGTCACGCAGCTGCTCCTGTGGCGACACTGAGAGTCGGGCTGTGGGCGCAGGGAGAGGACGGATGAGATGTCCCTCCCTGAACAAAGCGCAGTCCCGCCGCCTCGCGCGTCTTCTCTGTGGTGCGATTCTTGAGTTAGTGATACAGAAACCTTGAGCGTGAGGGAGCTTGATGGGGACAGCCATTTGCATTCATGGTCAAAACTTTCCAAGACTGCTGTGGGCAAGATCCACTCAGACTCCGAGCCCAGTTTCCAGCTTCTCACTCAACACACACTGATGAGCAAGACGTGGCGTCCAGTGCCGGCCTGCAGCTCCTGGTCGAGGCTTCCAAGGCGCAGCCCTTGCCTCCAGGGTCTTCTGGAGGCCAGGTGTAGGCACAGGGACGTGCAATACAGGTGGTTATGTTTTCTCCGGGCAAGTCTACAGCCAGTATTAGAAACAGAGGAGCATGCTCTTAGAGAAACTGTGTTATAGAAGGTGATGGAGCCCCAAGCCACCCTCAAAAACTCCTTTGGCCCCAAATCTACAGTCATAATACTAGGACCTAATAGTTGTGTGTAGCAATATGTCTCTGGGGAGGACGCATTCAAGGATCCAACTTAGACACCAGGGTCCTTTCCCTCCGTATAGCCCAGACAGCCTGTGGGAGGGCACGCCCTCCTCTGCTTTCCATCTGCAGCGAAGGAGCCAACGTTGCCTCCTCCTCGGCCTCCACTGGGGGCTCATGCAGGAACCAAGGGGATAATGAGAAGGAGGCAGGACGCCCAAGGGCACAGGGAATGGGGGCCTGGGCAGGGCCTGGCTGGTGCAAGGCCAGGCCAGGCTGGCTCCTGACTGACCCCTGTCCTCAATTCTGTCACTGTCAGGGTCTGTTCGGCCATTTCCCCACGTTGTTTCTTTCATTCCTTCTTTCCTTCCTCGAAGGTTTCGGGTGCTGTTACCTGTCAGACACCCTGCTGGGTGCCATGCAGGTCCTGAGATGTGTGAGACAGAGGCCTCGCCCTCGGGAGTGGAACTTTCACTAAAATTTCAGCTCCACATATGGTCTGCTCAGGGAAGCTCCGGTGCCCGGGATGGTGTCTAGCACACAGCAGCTGCTCATTAAATATGTCGACTGAACGGAGGAGTTCTCAGTGAGCAAGTCACACGGGCAGTGTGCGATGGTGACCGTTCCTTCCTCGCATGGCCTGCAGGGCCTCCTGCTCTCGCCTCAGCCCTCACAGCCCAGAAACGCCACACTGCCGACGTTGGACAGACACCACTCAGGGGATTTGCTGCCTCGGGACTCGGCCCGTTCTCTCTGCCTGGCGTCCCCGTCTTGGTCTCGCCCGCTTCCCCCACCTGGGGGAGGAGGAGGCAGGAGGCAGGCAAGAGGGGAAGAGCTTCTGAGGCAGAGAAAATGCCAGAGCCAGGCCCTGAGCGAAAGGCAGGGACAGTTTGAGGACTGACGTGGGATCACCGTCCCTAGGAAGCTCCCTTTATGCCCCCCTAGGATACTTCAGACACCCCCCTGGAGCTGCCGCGACTCTCTTCATATCCCCTCATCACCTGCGTTTCTCTCATCGTAAGATAAACTTATGTGGTGAGTCTGCCTTCCTGTCTAGACCACAAACTCGCAAAAGGTGGTCATTTTTCAAGTCCCGACACCCAGTGACGTGCATAGAGTGTTGAAGGTGATTGGTGAATGTTACTTAAATAAAACTATGAATGAATGAACTGAACCAAGCTTTCTATAACAGCAGTTACAAAACAACAGTGAGCTCAAAATTATTCCCCCCGCAAATACCCGAAGGAAAGCTAGTCCATTCAGCCAGTTAAGTGTCAAGCCGCAGCCTTTGGCAGCCAGCAGAGCTGGTGCAGGACAGGGAGCCTCTACTGATGTGGAGGAGCTCTCCTGCTCACCTGACGCGTGGGTCAAGGCAGGGCTGAGGGCCGTGGCAGGGCTTTTCTTAAAACAACCACAGCAAAGCGTTGTGGGCTTGCTCTAACACATGGGTGAATGTCTGGACGGTATAACTTTAATCACCAAGAGACCATGGTGTCATAATCTACCTATGTTCTAAAGGAAAATGTAAGGAGCCCACACAGGGCTGCCAACCTTGTACTTGTTGAATAAGGTCCTTAAAGAAAACGGGTCCTGCTCTACCCTCAGTACATAACAACAAAACCCAAAGGAGACTCCGAATCAAACACATTAAGCTTTAGGAAAAGTCCATTCTGTTGTCTTCATTGTCGTCATTTTGCTGGGGCCCAGTGAAATTTCCTTGAGGAATTTGCAGTGACAGTTGGGAATGCCTTTAGCAACCTGCAGGAGCGGTGAGCTCAGAGCAGGGTACCATCACTGACGAGGCGGCCCGGAGAGAGGCCATCTGTGGGCGGGGAGGGTCCTGAAGGTCCAGCAGGTGGGCGATCTGCTACTTGAAGAAATTTTCTCCAGAAAACGTCCAAAAGCAACTCGGTGATATAGGATCACATCCAGGCCTCAGAGGCTGTTACTTGAACTCGGCACTGCGTTGCCAGTTTGTAAATACGAGGTTGACCCGTGTTTGTTTGGGGTTCATACTGCATGTTCACTGAGAGGTGATGCCGTGCCATCCTGCACAGCCGCACCCGTCCTCAGGAGGGTGCACGTTTCAGAGGAGGGAAGTGAGGCGGGAGCAGGGAACCAGGGGCTTTGCCCTGTCATGTGGACGTGAAAACTCTGGCTCGTTTATAAGTCAGAGGATGGAAGTCACAACACGAACCTTGAAACTTGGGCTTCTCTGAGGAGAAGAACCTAGGTTTCTCTTACAATAGTTTGGGCAAGAGGAAGGGCAGCCCCGTGTCAACATTCCTCATCTCTCTCCATCATGCCGGGTATTGACTTGAGCGGCAAATATCGAAGGGGTGAAACGTGCTCTTTTTAATTAAATCAGGTTGACACGAACGAACAGCTGAGGAGAATAGCCCAGATGAGGATTGTCGAATACGACTACAAACCTGAATTCGCGTCTGCGATGGGAATAGACGCTGCCCATCAAACAGGTACGCACACAAATTCCCTTTTTAATTTTGCATTGTCAACTCTTAAAACTTTAATTTCTCTGGAGGCTGCGTGCTGTGGCATTTGACAACATCTTGTTGCTCTAAGTCGTCCTCTGTGAAACCTGTCATCGCTAGAACAGAAAAGTTGAAGAAATTCCTATGTCATCTCCACTCAACCCCCCACCCCACCCCTGCACCCCGAGTCCTGGTGGAGTATTTGGAATGTACTGTTTCTCTTCACTGGAGGCCTCCTGCTCACAGAATGAGGGTCAAGGGGCCGACGACAGCTCAGATTGTATGAGGAGCAGCACAGGACAGTCATGGGATGGAGCGAGCAGTGGCAGGGGAGGTGGGTCGAGGTCAGAGCAGGGGTCAAGTGGTGTTCATGCTCCAAGGCAGGAATCCTACAGACAGAGGGACAGTTTCAAAGCCATCCTCAGGAAAAGAAAGGAAATGAAGCCAGTGCCTGCCCTACGTCTACGCACAGGGATTCCAGGGTATTCACTCGGCCCTCCCAATGTGCGGCCCAGACTCTCAAGGAAAACTGGAGAAAACGACCCTCTCATTTTTAATCCCAAGTGGCTGTTGGCTCACAATTCCTTCTTTGCTTCAAATGCATCGTAGATCAAAGCAAAAGATGAGGAGGGATAAGCATGTACTTGCAAGGTGTCCGGGTGGCTGTCGGTGGTCCGTTCTGATTAGGCCTGGGGGGACTTTCTCCAGAAAGGTCTTTTCCTGACTAAACCTATGGGATGTTTTGTGTCAAGGAATGATTGCCCAGGAGGTGCGAGAGATCCTGCCTGGAGCCGTCAGAGAGGTTGGCACCGTCACCTGTGAAAACGGAGAGAGGCTGGAGAGCTTCCTCATGGTCGATAAGGTAACCACCACCGGGGAGACTCTGCCCAGAGCTGGGCCCCCGCGGGTGGACGCCTTCCGTGGCGTCCCCATGCCGGGAACGTCCAGCCAGGAGACGGGACGGTAAAAGAACTCTTCACCAGACTGTGGAGTAAGTTGGTATCAATGATCCCACACTGGTGACTGGTACCAAAAAGAGGTCCCATAAGGGAAAAGGAGAAAGGAGTGTGCTGCAGCGAGCGTCGGAGTTCAGCGGGTCTCACTGTGGGGGAACTGGCCCTGGGAGGGGCCCTGTGGCCCAAGGGTGCTTGAAACCAGGACTGAGCATCACAAGAAACAGTGACACGTTTTCATTAGACTTTGTCCTGAAAAATGGAACTAAAACTTATGACAGTGTAATTTATCTCACATCCTATTATCTAAGTTATAATTAAAACAATGTGCTCGTCCTTGGATGATTGAAAACTGGATGAAGTGTTGATTTTTTTTGGAGCATAGTTTCTCAACAAAATTGTCTGTTTGACTTTCAGGGTGCAGTCATAAAGTGGGTCATTTTTACAAATATATTTGTGAGACTCCCCATTTTCCCCAAGGGCCAGGCTTAGTTCTTTGATATTCAGATCATTCTCTTTGGAAAGAATGTCTTGGACTGGCTCCTTTCCACCTGTGAGGGGTCCGCAGCTGCCGTCCCCTCACTTGCCAAGGCTTTGTTTGTGATTTGAGTGGTTCTCCGAGATCACATCTGTTAATTCTGTGAAGTCCTGCATCTTTTGCGAGGTTTGCACATTCAATCTGCTGCTGATTTGCTTTATGTTGCATTATTATCTTCAATGCTGGGAGGGAAGATGGATTGACGTGGGACTTGGCAGCAGTCGGAGAGATGTCGGAGTGGGGACTAATTTGTAGTTTGTCAGTTCATGGGGCAGTGCTCCCTAAACTTCACAGTGGACATGAATCACTGGGGGTCTTATTAAAATGCAGATTGCGATTTGGCAAGAATGGAGTGAGACCCGAGATGCTGCATTTCTAACCAGCCCCCAGGTGATGTCAACTTTGCCAATACTGCTGGTCAGCAAGCCACACTTGGAGAGCAAGGTGGAGGGTGCATTTTCATGTTAGGCCCGTCCACAGTCTTCCACCTATAAGCTCTCAGACAACTAATACTTAATATTGGGGTCTGGATGGCCTGCTCAGCCCTGGGTTGCAAGGGCCAAGGGGCAGAAGTCAGTTAACTTCCTCCTGCTTCCCAGGACCACAACCTTGATAGAAGAAATTCTCTGGTCTCTCTCCCAGACCTAGGCTATCGCTATAGTCGAGAGATGTATCATGAGAAATTTATTTTTAATAAAGAACTGAAGTTTCCATATAATTTACTTAAAATATATTCAGAGATATTCGTGTAGTAAAGTCACCCTCACTTTCTTGCATTTTCATAAGCTTCTGGGGGTGAGTGAAAAGAGCATAGGCACAGCTGTCAGGCTCAGGGTACAGCCTTGGGAGTGTCACCAGACTGCCAGGGTGGGCTCTTGGGGTTACTCCTCTGGTAGCAGCTCTATTACTCTGGCCGTGGCCCTCCCCTAGAACACTCGGGAAAGAGATTTCTGTGTTTTCTGTGTGGGTAACACCTGCCCTGGGCCTTATGACTGTCACTGTTCAGCAAAATAATTAGTTCTCCCTCTGGCCCAGTATCTTCCCATTGCCAGTTGAGTTGAATGGGGACAGGTGGGATTATTAGCAACAGGGGTTCTGAGGGCTGCCCTCACTTCCCCCAGAAGAGGCTACAACCCAAGATCATTCCCAGGAAGGCAAGCACAGAGCTGGGAAAGCAAGGGGTGGCATTCCTGTTCGGGGCAGCCAGATTCTCCTATCACCTGAGGAGCAATCACACCAGAGCAGCATCCAGTTCGTCAACAAGTGAACTGAGAGGAGTCCCGAAGGGAACAGTTTGATTCTCTTGGTAACAGGGCCTTGTGGTGACACCATCTGTGGAGCGTCACTCAGGCCACCCTCCTGTACAGAACCGGGCGAACATCTACCTCCACACCGTGAGGCTGGCCCTCTCCTCGGGCTCACTTCTGAGGACAGACTTCTATTGCTGGTTTAGTCCTCAGCGCTGTGGACTATCCCTCCTTCACATTATAAGTTCTTCCAGAACATCTCCTTTACCTTTTCTTGTTAAGAACTCAGGGAACATGGCTCCTGTGGTTCCTGCTCTTTGTTAATTGTAAAACAAGTGAGATGTGGGAGTGACGTCAGCCTCATGGCAGAGTGAGCTTCCCCCACTGAACTCTCCCCCTCTAAGACACAACAAAAGGACATTCAGATTCCAACGGAAGCTATTCACACGACACAGGGGACGTCTGAGGCACCCAGGCAGCCATACACCCAAGGGCTGAGGTGCTGGAATCCCCAGAGGAAGTGGAAGGAGGTAAGAGGAGCTCCCTTCCTTCCCCAAGGACTGCGACCCAGAGACTGAGACCACGTGGCTCTCAGAGGATGGGCAGGGGCGGTTCGCTGCGTGAAAACCAGTGCTCTCCAAGACCCCTCACAGCCCGAGGGGATGCCCCTACAGAGGGAGTGGAACTGTTGCGAGGGTAGTTTCAACAAGCTGGCCCCTCAGGAGAGCAGAGAGCAAGAGCGAGGTGAGAAACCTCTGAGACGGGGGAGGAGAAAGTAAGCACCCCTCCCCCACCCGGCCCTCCTTAGTGGCGCTTCAACACAGCGACGCTTCAGCTCAGCCCCGTCCCCAGAGGCAGCGGCCCCCTGGCACCCAGGCCCCACCAGCAGGGGTAGTGTGACCGCACCCCACCTCCACAGGCAGTGGCCCCCAGGTGCCCAGGCCTGACCAGCAGCAGGGCGAGCCTGTGCCCCCACACCAGAGGCAGCGGCAGCTCAGACCCCACCATGCCACAGCCCCAGCTTCCCCTGCTCCACCGTGCCATAGCCCCAGCTCCTTTGGCTGGACCGTGCCCGCCCCCAGCTCCTTTGGCTTGAGCGCTCCCCCCTGCCTCCCAGCTCCAGCTTCTTTGACTTGGCCTGTGCTCAGGCTCCAGCTGACTTGGCTCCAGCAACTTTGGCCCAGCACAATCCAGTCCCCGCTTCTTTGGACCAGCGGCGCTCCAGCTCTTCCTTCTTTGGCCCAGCACACTCCAGTTCCAGCTTCTCCTGCCCAGCGCATTCCAGCTCCTGCTTCTTTGGCCCAGCGCCACTTCAGCTGCAGCTGCTTCAACCCACCCGCACCCGAGCCCCAGCTGCTTCGGCCTGGCTGTGCTCCAGTCCCAGCTGTTCCCACGCTCCAGCTCCAGCTGTTTCCACACTTCCCCCACAGCCGCCTCCACTCAGCCACGCCTCAGATCAGCCAGGGGCCGACCAGAGTGCCCGCAGATTGAGGCGGGCCAGAATACACAGCCCTTGACCCCCACCCAGTGGCAGCAAGAGGAAACTGCAACCATATATTTTCATTATGAGGAAAAGTAAGCAACACCAACAAGCACTTTGCAAAAATACATTAAATCTCCAGACCAAAAGGAAAATGACAAGCACCTGGAAGTTAACCTGGAAAGCACAGAAATGTATAACCTTAACGATAGAGAATTCAAAATAGCCATGATAAAAAAGCTTAATGAAATACAAGAAAACACAGACAGACAATTCAGTGAATTCAGGAGTTTCTTCACAAAAGAGATTGAAACTATTAAAAAAAACAATCAGAAATCTTAGAGATGAAAAGCACAGTAGAGGAGA